GCTCGACAGGACGTGGGGCTCCCATGCGTCCCACCTGCAGCGTCAACCCTTCCACCTCGCTAAGTAGCTCGGCGGTAGTCTTCGTTTCTCCGAGCTCAGCGGTCTCGGCCTTCTCTTCATACTCTCCTTCACTTGCATCTCCGTTCTCGCTCTCCTGGTCTTGGCCATCCTCGTCGAACTGGACGGTTCGTCCCACCTCCATCGTCATGGCGATGAGTCGTTGATCCGCCGGGTCCGACCCCGCGAGAGGCGATCCTCCAGCCGTCGCTGCGCTTCCGTCGCTCGGAGTTGCTGATCCCTTGACCATCTTCACTCTTCTCTTTCTCTTCTCTTCCTCTTAACTTGGTTAGCTGGCACCTATAAAAACAAGCACACACTCCTGTTCCCGGGTCGCGGCACCAGTTGTGGTGTAGTAGAACACACAAATACCGTCAGATGTGGATTCCTTACACAAACCACAACGAATCGCCGAGTTAGGTCGGCGGTTGTATGGCCTGCGCAGAGGGTGGTCCCCTCGCGGTCCGGCTCTTCCGGGACAGACGAGTGGCTCGCTTCCACTCGGTTCCGACTAACCAAGTCAGATCACTTCCGAGGCTCCGCCGAGTTTGGTTCGGCTGAGCTCGTTCACAACCCTGTGCCCTCCACCAAAGGATGGACGACGGCGCGCGAGCGCTTTTACAGGTCACCGAGCGCAGAGGCTGCTCAGCTAGAAGTGTTACGGCACCCGGGCTATCCGACGTACCGGCCCGCTGAGTATGCGGGGCTTTCTTTCGCGCGTAGCGAGACTTTGTCCTACCCGGACCGACCTAATCTCTTGGCGCTACCAGTCAATACCCTACAAGCTATGCCTCTCGAGTATGACGGCAGGCATAATCCAGCCCTATGCAGGGACTTACCGGAAAAGTGTACACGTGTCTTGGACTAGGAAAATTCTGCTCTGTTATCTTCTGGGAGCCTTTTCGGCTCCCCCTATTTAATCCTATGCTTCCTATACAAATATCTAGTGAAACGTAGTCGTTTCGGATCTCTACCGACCATTCAGGCGACCGTTGAGCTCAGCGGCTATCCGGATAGCATATCCGGACAGATCGCCGAGTACTTACCGTGATCCTTTGTTCTTAAGCTCTGGGTTATCAGACCGAGCCGATTCTTGACCTAAAGTAGGTCGGCGTATGGTCGAATCTGGAAATCCCTACACCACAGAGCTAAGTTTCATAGCGGCTGAGGAATGGCCCGTGATATCGAGCACATCGCTAAACTAAACATATTGTGTAGCGTTTGTATAAATTTTATTTAAAGTGCTGGTGGTTTTGGATGGAGGATGAAGATACAGTGATAGCCAGCAATAAAAAAGAGATTACATTAAGAATCCTACTATAAGATCAATTGAATATTTATTTCTTAAATATGGTAAGCATGATGCTGACCCAAATTAATAAATTAAAAATAATCGATTTAGGTACACATGGGTTCAGCGTTTTTTTTTTATAGTTATCCCGCCGAAGCGTAGCGGAGGCGGGAATACCAAAACGTGTATATCTAAACCTAATTTACCGCCGCGTAGCGGCGGCGCTCGGCTAGTTACTTTTATTAAAGTAGGCTTCACGACCTTTGCGTTACCTGTAGCTGCACCCGGACACCGCACTGTACGGGTGAATGGTACCTACGTGGTGGTGCTTCAAAATCGTTGTTATTGCTTAAAAGTATGTTTGTTTGAAAAAAAAATGAAAATAGCATTATTTAACCGTTTGCTTAAACTTAAATAATGTTTTTTTAATTATAGGAAGCAACATTAAATGGCCGTGTTATTGCTAAATTTTGACGTGTTTTATTGGTAAAAAACAAAAGCATGCTTATGATGTAATAATACTATCTAATATTTCGTTTAATAATATACACCCAGCAGTAAATATCCGTTAAAATACCTAAAACATTTACGCAAGATTGTAATTATAATAGTTTGTTCACAGCTTGCAACATGGCGAGACCTACGGGCGAAGCGAAGATTGACTTGCTACTGCTAAATCCGCAGCGGTCTACGATGGACCCACAAGACCGCTGCGCCTGCTGCGGGAAGCTGCAGTATGGCAACGCGCTCCGTATAATCAGCGGGTGGGGCATGGGGCGACACTGTATTGCCTGTGAGAATGGGCCAAACGCGACTAAGGTCTGGGAGGGAAAGGCTCACAACCAGATCCAGGAGAGGTCAACTGCCAGGATAGCCTGGCGAATGCTAGCAGCGATGTGCCCTGACTGGTACCACAAGACGAAGAAGAGGCGCAGCCTCTCTCGCAAGCTGAACACCCGAAACGTTGAGTACATCAAGCGAGAGAAGCAGCATAAGAGCAAGTAATTGGTCAATATACCCTTTATGGCCTCCATGTTTCTACCTATCTTTGTATTTAGTATATTGGCTACAGTGCGAGGCTTGGAGGCCCACATGCAAGGCCAATATTGACCTGCGACTGCTGAATCCGCAGCGGTCTACGACGGATTTCCGGGCGCGCTGCGTCGGTTGCGGGAAGCTGCAGTACGGTTACGCGTTCCGTACAATCAGCGGACGGGGCAGCGTGCGGCACTGTATTGCCTGCAAGAACGGCCCAAAAGCGGTTAAGCTCTGGGAGGAAAAGCTTTCGCCACCTGGTTCGGCCGAAGTGCGCCGCCAGGAAAGCCTGGCGAACGTCAAGAAGGCGATGGGTCCTGACTGGTAACCCAAGAAGAAAAAGAGGCGCAGCCGTCCTCGCAAGCTGACCGCCCGAAACGCCAAGTACATCGAGGAAAAGAAGCAGCAGAAGAGCAAGTAATTGGTAAACATACCCTTTTAGGCCAATTTCCTACCTATTTTGGTTTAGTATACTGGCTGACGGTGCGAGGCTTGGATCGGTAAGCTGACTATAGTGCTGACGCACCTACAAAGCGTAGCGCGCTTCATAAAATATGAGCACATGGAATCAGCTGTGTACCGCTGCAAGTTGGTCGTTCCTATCCGCATACGCGTCACCGTAGATGACACGTAAACTCGCCCACATGGCCACACGCAAAACCATGATATCCGTACCACCAACGCTCACAGCGTATATTTCATTAATGTGCGCTCACGAATGTAAGCTTCAGTATAGAGTGAGCACTATGCACCGACGAATAAGTTGCTGTCTACATAGACACAAGCACGTCTATGGTAGTGTTGACCATACAGGTGGTCGTCGCAACGACTCATTTTTCATTCAAAACACAAAATTGGATTTTTGAGCGACGGCGTGGCGAGGACAAGGTGCGCTGGTTGTATAATAGCAGCAGGGTAGTTTTAGATGTATATGCATGTATGTACGGGCGTGGGACTCCTTGCCCTTCTATATATTCAAGCGAGACCTCTCAGGATACAGTCTGAGGCTTGCCCCGAGACTCCAAAGTGGTATGGCAGTTGGTAGCGATAGCAATCAGGCTGGGGTGGGTGTGACTGGGAGCGTCTACCACCATGCACGCGCCTAGGGGTCCTAGACCCACCGCGAGTGTCCACGCTCCAAAAGCGAGTGGCGCGTGCTGCCAATTGGCCAAACCGAAGTTGCAGCCACATGCGGAAGAGTCGCTACGGTCCCGCAATACAGAGGTGATTTTAAAGTGTGAGCTCCCGCATCAAAACACACTTTGCGAGAGTACTTCTGGCGGGACGGAAAGGAATGCAGCAGTTGGTCTCACAAGAGCAAGGAGCTCAAGACCAAGTGCAAGGACAGCTCAAGAACAAGAGATCAAGACAAAAAAACACTTTAAGAGCATGAGTGAGCCCCGCGCCTGTACACTTAAATAGCATAGCATCATAATAGACAGTTTTACAGCATTTTCGGAGCTGTGTGAGCCCCGTGAGGGGCTGGGTGGTTCTCGGACACCCTGCGCATACTACTGACATGACCTGAAGGGCTGGACGGTATCGAACAGACCTGGGCAGCCACTCAACAGGGATGAGGCAACAGCTTTGACGTACCCAAGAGGCAACAGCGCGATGCGGCGTCTGAATTACCATGTACAGCTGCTTGGTCCACAGCCGTGCAAGGTAACTTGGACCCGCGGAACGTGAGCTGAGGGCTGTAACACGTCGGCCAAGGGGAAGGCCTAAGCAAAATCTGACTGGACCAACAAGCTGCCTGGAGTGACCCTAAGTTGTTTGTAATCCGAGGAGCCGGGATGGAAATAACAGTGGTGTGCTATGTTCACAGAGGGCTTCTGGATTAGTACTGGAAATGCAGCGGGGCTGCCGTAGCTTTAGCGTCAGAGGAAGACGTTCGATTTAAAGAGTCACTAATACTAAGTTCCTTATTCAAAGGACACTTACAGCCCAAGACCAGGGCTCAAAGTTAATACCTTAACTTTTATGCTTCAGAACCAGAAGTGTTTTATTTACTATTATTGCAGCCAAGCCACCTATGGGTAAATGTATCTGTTTAACTATCTAGCATAATTAAACCTAATCAAATGCATAACGTGTGGCTTTCAGCCAACGTACTGAGAGACCTTGTTAGCTCTCCAACTTATGTACTGAGGGTTTGTTAACTCTCCGGGTACTTCGTACCCCTGTGTGTTCCACACCATGTAACCCCGTTACACTCTCCCCCACTAAGATGAGAACATTCCGTTCTCGAAACTTTCCTCAGCGAGGTCACGTCTTGTTAAGACGGCGGAGGTTACTACACCTCACACCAACGTTGTACAGCTCCGTGAGCTCACAAACGCCTAGGCATCGTTGATGCCCAACTTCTCGTCGTCGGCCCACGGCCCAATGCTCCAAGCGCAGCGCGCATCTTGCTCTCAAGCGGTCTCAGACCTACGCTCGCGCTCCGCGCCTACTCCAAGAGCTGCAAACCGCTTAGAGCAATGCTCTTGACTCATTCGAGTCGTCGACAGCAGCTCAGCGGTTGAACACTCGCTTCACAAGCGATAGGTCCGTGGTTCAAACCCACTAGGGCACAGCCCTCTCGTTCCATGAACGATTGTTCACGCTTGGACAAGCCTAAGGGCAACACCCTTGGTTGAGCGTTGGCTTTGAGAGCCACAGGTCGGTGGTTCGAGCCCACCAGGGCACAGCCCTGTCGTTCCATGAACGATTGTTCACGCTTGGACAAGCTTAAGAGCAATCCGCTTTTAGCTCAGTGGTCGAGCGTTGGGTTTGGAAGCCACAGGTCGGTGGTTCGAACCCGCCAGGACACAGCCCTCTCGTTCCATGAACTATTGTCCTTGAATGGGACAAGCTTAAGGGCAACGCCCTTTCAGCTCAGTGGTCGAGCGCTGGCTTTTGAGAAGCCACAGGTCGGTGGTTCGAACCCACCAGGGCACAGCCCTCTCGTTCCATGAACGATTGTTCACGCTTGGACAAGCCTAAGGGCAACACCCTTTTAGCTCAATGGTCGAGCGTTGGCTTTAGAAGCCACAGGTCGGTGGTTCAAATCCACCCGGACGCAGCCCTCTCATACCATGAGTGGTCCGTTCTCGGACTGACGTACGGGCATCGCCCTTATAGCTCAATGGTAGATCTCCGGCCTGTCAAACCAAAGGCCAGTGGTTCGATCCCCGTTCAGGACACCACTTTCGCTGATACAGCGCATCCACATTTGGATCATGCTCATCGAGCAAGTTGTTTCAAAACAACTATGCGTCTATCGAGACGCTTGTGCCTGAACCTTGTTCAGCGCAACACGAAGCACCTGCTTCCTTCGGGACCATGTCCCTATCACCACGAGGTCTCTCCACCTCCTGCTCCCGCTGCGAGCACCGCTCATACGTACGAGCTGGCTGCTGCAGCCACTGGTCAGAGCCTGAGCTCAACTACTGACCTGATCGCTCCCCACTCTAGTGGGAGGCGCCCAGCACCTGGCGACGCTGTCGCACGCCATGTTGGCGCTTTGGCACATGATGTGCCCGGTCGTAAGTGTCAACGACGTCAGGGCAATCTTGCCGGAGGATAACCTCAAACTCCCATGAGTTCTGTGAGTGAGGGTAACCCCTCCACTTCACCAAGTACTGGGTACGACCCTGGCGTCTACGCCACGCCACAAGGCGTTCCACGTGAAAGTGAAGCTCACCATGCTCATCGAGCAGAGCAGGAGGAGGCCTTGCCTCAGCTGGGCTCTCGCGGGGAGAGCCAGCACTTGCCGGAACGGCGTCTGCGTCCATACGACGCCGGCGTCCACGACGCGAACGTTCCCGTTCACCGCCCATCGATCGATCTCGAAGAGATGATCCACCTTGTGGATAGGTTAGAGCCACCACTGATGACTCACAACCAGGTCTCGGACCTTGAGCGTCCAGTCGCTCGGCTGAACGTTCAGCTTGCCTTGCACCTGCATCTCGAGCACTTCGCTCCGCGACCTGTGGCTCTGCCACATGCTGTTGATCAGCTATCTGTGGGTCCACCACTTGCTGTCGTTCAGCCTCACGTGGCTCGACCACCTGCTGCCCTGCTGCCCGGCAGCTCAGCCACCGCTGGCGCCAACGCATCCGCGCTCATCTGAGCAAGGTCTTGATATGGCTTAAGCAAGCCAACATAGAAGACGGGACGCGTGTGTATCTTCTTCGGAAGGTTGAGCGTATACGCTAGGCCCTTCTTGGCCACGACCTTGAACGGTCCTATGAACCGAGGTCTTAACTTCGTCTTGAAGACTGCAGACACTGCATGAGTAGGTAGGTTTTTAGCGTTTAATAAAACTTGGTCACCGACCTCAAACCTCTCAACATTGCTTCTGCCCTTGGCATCTGCATGTTCCTTCTGCGTGTCTTGGCTTTCAGCCATAGCGTCGCGTACTTGACGCATTACGCTCAGTCTCAAAGAGACAAAGTCATCGACTTGCTTGCGAACCGCAACAGGGCTGACATCAGCTAGCCGCTCGGCTATCCCTCTCCCACCAAGCCCTGAGCCACTGCGTGGCGGCGTCAGTGGGACGCGAGGGTTAACCAAGCCGTTCACATAGAACGGAGTGTAGCCTGTCGAGGCGTGCACTGCATTATTTAATGCGAACTCAACGAGTGGGAGCATCTGGCTCCAGCGTTTTGGCGCCTCAGCGCATACGCTTCGGAGGGTATCCTCCACAACGCGATTCACGCGTTCGGTTTGACCATCGGTCTGCGGATGGTCCGCTGTGGACATGTCCAAACGAGTGCCGAGCACTCTGAAGAGGGACGTCCAGAACTTCGCGGTGAAGCGCGGGTCTCGATCCAAGACAATTGCCTCAGGCAAGCCATGTTGGCGAAAGACTCGGCCTAAAAACAGCAAAGCTGTACCTTCACCATCAATGGTGTCCGGCACTGCCGCTAAATGAGCCATCTTGCTCAATCGGTCTACAAAGACCACTATACCTGTGTTTCCCGCCTTATCCTTGGGAAGGCCAAACACAAAGTCCATACTCATGGACTGCCAGCATCCCTTGGGGACAGGCAAACTCGCCAATGGCGCTGCCGTGCTCGGCGCGGACTTTGTCCGTTGACACGTCTCACACGTGCGTACATAGGTGCCGACCCACTTATACATCTTGGGCCACCAGTACATCGAGCTCACCGAGCCATAGGTCTTCTCCCGACCTAAGTGCCCGCCCACGGGCGTATCATGAACCTCATAGAGGATTCGATACTTTAGATCCTCATCATGAGGAACGACTACACGAGGGTTATCCTCAGCGTCGGTGCTGTAGTACAGCAGGCCGCCATCGAGTGAGTATCGATGCAGCCTCGCGCGTAAGCGCCCAGACAATTCCTTGTCAGAGTCTTTAAACTCTTCGCTCCCAAGAGCCCGTAGCAGCGCTACGCACATGTCGTCTTGTGCATACGCTCCGCGTATCAAGTCAGGCACTGACGACGTCACTGTCGTGACATGAGCTAACTCGTAGTCCGGCCTGCGCGAGAGCGCATCGGCCACTACATTAAGCCGCCCCGGCTTGTACTTCACCTCGAAGTTATACTCGGCAAAGAAGGAAAGCCATCTTGCCATTCTCTGAGAGAGATGAGGCGACTGTGTCGCAGTGCGTAACGACGCATGATCAGTAAAGATCACAAAAGGCTTAGAGCCTAGCAGGTGTACCCTGAATTTGACTAGAGCATACTTCATTGCAAGTAGCTCTTTGTCATGAACTGGATAGTTCTTCTCTGCAGCTTTGAGCTGGCGAGACTCAAACGCGATCACGCGTTCACGTCCTTCGGCGTCTGCTTGTAGTAAAGCACAACCGATTGCAAAATCGGAGGCGTCACAGACGACGCTAAACGGACTATCCGGGTCCGGTAGCGCAAGGATCGGAGCCTGGAGAAGGCTCTCCTTCACAGCCTCAAAGGCTCCGTCGTGCTCGACGTTCCAGCATCATGGTGCGTCCTTCTTAAGGAGATCTGATAATGGCCGAGCCATCTCCGCGTAGTTCGCACTGTACTTGTGCAAGTAATTGGCTAAGCCTAGCCACTTGCGTAAGTCATTTTGGTTCTTGGGAACCGGCCAGTCCACGATGGCCTTGACTTTGGCAGGATCTGCCCGTAAGCCACGCTTCCCAATGAAGCACCCGAGGAAAGGTATCTCCTCCGCGCCAAAGACGCACTTGTCCAAGTTGGCATACAACTTATTAGTGCGCATGCACTCGAGCATCGCTCGCAAGTGGTCAGTGTGGTTTTCCACGTCTGGCTTTCCGTGCTCAGCACGACTATGGACGAATATATCGTCAAAGTACGTTTGAGCGTACGCCCGGTGGGGCCTAAACATCTGCGTCACAAGACGATTGAACGTTGCTGGTGCGTTCGACAGCCCCTGGGGCATCACCAGCCACTCCCAGAGCATACCGCTCGGCGTACTCACCGCTGTCAGCGGAATGTCGCTCGCTCTCATGAGCAATTGGTAGTAGCCATCGACCAAGTCGAGCGCGCTGTACAACGTACAGCCTACCATGTTATTCTGCAGAACATCCTTGCGAGGAATCGGCGTTTGCGCCGGGATAGTGGCCGCATTTAGCTTGTTAAAAGCATGAACAATGCGCCACTTGCCGTTTGGCTTTCTGACACAGAACGTGGGTGTCGAGTGCGGAGACTTACTCTCACGCACCATCCCTGCCTCGTGCTTCGCACGGAAGAATGCGTCAATGACGTCACACTGCTCTCTCGGCAAAGGCCATTGCCTTGTTTCGCAGTATTTGGCTCCAGGAACCAGGTCAATCTCATGATACACGCCTCGATCCGGAGGCAGACCCGTCGGTGGGTCTTTCGAGACAACGTCTCCATACTCCTTCACCACCGGGTAGAAGAGATCCGAAGGACCTTTGAGGATCGCCGATCCACTTCTTGCGCTCAGCGCCTTCTTGGTGTCCTCTAGGACCGCGTCGTCCACGACGGATGAGGAGTTCAACTCTTCCTCTGGTCCCAGCAGGACCGCCTCGACCAGCTCGCCTGCCTTTAAGGCTTTGCCAAACTCGGCAATGGACATCTCGTCCAGCTCTAGCAGAGCATCTGCAGCGGGCAGAGTGTCAAGGCTGATATCGCCTTCTACCTCCCCCGTCACTCCGTTACCGAGTGTATACAGCTGTTCACAGCAATCACGTGGAGCATCACCGATCGACACGTTGGACACATTGTCCGACGTCGAAGACGTCACAGACGCCCTGCGTCTTCTTCTCCTCTCCCTCCGCGACCGAGCCCGGCCGGATGAGGGCGGTGTGGCGACATCTCCGTCACCACCACCGGGTGCAGCAGCGCCATCACTCCTCGAACAGGATACAGTGTCTCGCAAGACACTCGGCTGAAATCCAAGAGGTTCTTGACCTTCACACAGTGAACTAGGTGTCACTTCACCTGCATCGCCTGGGCCACGGCCATGATGCCTCGACTCGCAGTCGACCGCGACCCTCGGGTCACTCAGCGGTAGGTCATCGACCAGATTCGTACCACTCAGTGGATTACGCGCCACTCCGCGCTCGTCCTCACCAGGACCCAGCAGTTGGTCATTGACCTGACCTGCACCGCTCAGCGGATAACGTTCCGCACCACGTACGCCCTCAGGGCAAACAGCAACCTCGTTGCTAACAATTTCGGACATACCAATGGCCAGCACTACGGCCACCTCG